CAGCTAGGGCAGGGGGTCAGAGGGTGCGTGAGAGCCTTGGGATCCCGTCTGACAGGCTGGAAGGAGGGCAGGGAAGGTCACCTGAGTGGTGCCAATGGCCTCGGGAGCAAAGCATTTCGCCTGGGCCAGTCTGCTCCAGGTAAGGCATGTCTGACACAGGAAAAGGGTAGTAGAAAGGAATGTGGCTCACCCGAGGAACATTTTCCCAACGGTAAGTAAAGCCACTGAGCCAGGACAGGGATGATGTGAGTATAGTGGGGAATGTGGGCATGAGTTTGAAGAAGTGGGTGGGGGACAGTTCAGAAGTCTGGAATGCCCGGTTAAGGAGTTTCGCTTTGGCAGACAATAGGGAGCCATTGAATGTTTTCGAGCATGAGCATGACTTCATGAAAGCAGTATTTTGGGAGAATCAGAACAGTTTCAGACCAACTGGAGAGGATTTAATTTCAGATCAACTCATGGTTCCAGAACCTGAGCTCTTACCCTCTCAGCTATGACTAGAGCAGGCCCTGAAGAGGTGTAGAGTTTGGGAAGGAAGCAAGAAGTGAGGAAGACAGGCCTGGGAGAGGAAGCCACCAGCCTGAGCAAGCCTGGCAGATAGACACGGCCAGACTTGGTAGGGGCGAGCCGGCTTGGCCAGAGCGAGGAGGGTCTATGCTGAGGTCTACGGATGGTAGTGAAAACAGTGATGGTGCAGGGGTGGGGGAGACTGGGGTCCACTTCTTCAGCCCCTACTGTCCTGGCAGCTTCAGGGTGGGCCCGAGGCAGCCTCCAGCTTCAGCGACCACCCCTGTTCCTCTTGCCAGGTTCTTTGTGAACTTCCCCTCGGCCAAGCAGTACTTCAGCCAGTTCAAGCACATGGAGGAACCCCTGGAGATGGAGCGGAGCCCCCAGCTGCGGAAGCATGCCTGCCGAGTCATGGGGGCCCTCAACACTGTCGTGGAGAACCTGCACGACCCCGACAAGGTGTCCTCTGTGCTGGCCCTTGTGGGGAAAGCGCATGCCCTCAAGCACAAGGTGGAGCCAGTGTACTTCAAGGTATGCGCCCTGATCTGCTGCAGAGCCGCCACCGCCCACACCTCATGGCCATCTGCAGCTCGCAGGCTCTGGGAGGGCTCCCTGGGGCAGCAGAGGTGATCCCACGAGTGGCTGCGAGAGGGAGGGGCAGTGCCCGGCAGCAGGATGGAGGGGCTCAGTCCAGGGCAACCCTTGTCCTGAGAGCACTGGGTGCCCAAAGCTGGCAGACTGTTGTGTTAAGAATGATCCTCTTGGCCGGGCGCAGTGGCTCAAGCCTGTAATCCCAGCACTTTGGGAGGCCGAGACGGGCGGATCATGAGGTCAGGAGATCGAGACCATCCTGGCTAACACGGTGAAACCCCGTCTCTACTAAAAAATACAAAAAAAAAAACCTAGCCGGGCGAGGTGGCGGGCACCTGTAGTCCCAGCTACTCGGGAGGCTGAGGCAGGAGAATGGCGTAAACCCGGGAGGCGGAGCTTGTAGTGAGCCGAGATGGCGCCACTGCACTCCAGCCTGGGCGACAGAGCGAGACTCCGTCTCAAAAAAAAAAAAGAATGATCCTCTTGGCCACACATGGGGCAGAGGGGCCCGGGGGTTGCGGGACGCAGGGTGCCCAGGCGTTCACTCCCCCTTCCTCCCTTTGCCCCCAGATCCTCTCTGGGGTCATTCTGGAGGTGGTCGCCGAGGAATTTGCCAATGACTTCCCACCTGAGACGCAGAGAGCCTGGGCCAAGCTGCGTGGCCTCATCTACAGCCACGTGACCGCTGCCTACAAGGAAGTGGGCTGGGTGCAGCAGGTCCCCAACGCCACCACGTGAGGAGGCGGGCGAGGGTGGGCTGGGCAGCCTCCCCGCCATGTCCTATCCTGTCCCATCTCTCCTGGGGCCCTGGGGCTGACCACCTGGGCAGGCACACTTGAGGCAGGCCAACTCTGGGGTCTGACATGTAAGAACAGGCATAATAGGAAAAGGCCTTCAAGATGGCTCCCCTGTGACTTCAGGCTGCGCAGAGCCATGGGCCCTGAGCAAAAATCCTCCCAAAGAGCCTTCCCCTTCCCTAGAGCCAGGGAGTGCTCAGAGCACCCAAAGCCACAGCTGCCCAGGCAGAGAGGCGCCAGAGGCTCCCGGCGGGAAGGTCCAATCGTCAGGCTCAGAGGCAGCCCAGGCCAGCCCAGCCACTTCCTCCCTGGGTGCCAATCCTCCCTGGGTGCCAATCACAAGGGGCTGTTTTCTCATCTCATGCCTACCAGTGCTGCTAAATGCCCTCTGCCTCAACAGGGCTAGAGCCAGGAGGATCACGAGGACACATACACACACACATGCCCCAGCCCACGAGGGAGCTACATGGGTGTCACTCACACGCACACAAGTAAGGGGATGTTTACTTCCAGGCTGACCTGGAGGCTGGGCTTCCAGTACTGGGCCCAGGAGGTGGCTCAAGGAGGGTGGCCGCCCTCTGTGACTCCTGCTGACTCGGAGCGTGAGGGGAGGGCTAGCCCCCAGACGTGGCGGTTGGGAACACTCAGCCTCCCTGGGCCCCCAAGGGGAGGCTGACTCTGGGAGCTGAATGGAGAGGCGGAGGCAAGGCTGGAGTAGGAAGGAGCGAGAGGAGCGGAGGCGGGAATGGGAAGCAGGGGTCAGCCAGCAGCCCGGGACACGCGTGGTAGAGAAACATTCCCAGCAGTTTCCCATGGAAAAGGCGGCGTCTCCCGCCGGGCTCCGCACGGGCCCCCAAGACTGCCGGCCCTCCTGTTCACAAGCACAGCTCCTGGAGGAGGTCCCCTGAGGGCAGCTGGGGACGCCAGGCCTCCTGCCCTTCCTGCTGCTGACCACACTGGCCCCGGGCTGGCTCCTGCTCCCCTCCCCCTTCTCCCGTCAGCACCACCCCAAGAGAGTGGAGTCCTCGGGAACTGCTGGCTGGAGCCAAGCCAACTCCAGATGTGCACAGCTGGGCCCTGGCCTGCCTGAGACCTGGGAGTCAATGGGAAACAAGCAGATGCTGGCCCACCAGAGGAGGGCACTGGCAGAGCGTGGAGAGCTGTGGTTGCCTCCTCACCCCCGACCAGCTGTCACCCAGAGGGTCCAGGGAAAAGACAGGGGAAGAGGAGGGGAGGGGGCTTGCTTGCCCTCCCACCCCTTTCCCCAGGCAGGCTCTGCTGCCAAAGATGAGTTTGTTTACAGCCAGGACACAAGACTTCCTGCTTCCAGAGAAAAGGGCTTTTTTACAAGGGCCAAGAGGGACTGGAAAGAGCTGGCTGGGCGCGAGCCCCAGTGAATCAGAAACACATGGCCCAAGTTCCCCAGCACGCTGCCCATCCTGCCCTCCCCACCCTGCCCTAGGGACTAAGATCTCTCCAAACCCCAAACATTTTGAAACTGCCGAAGTCTCCTCCTCCGCCCACTTCTGCTCCTTGTGGACTGAATGGAGATGGGCTACCGTGGAAACTGACACTCCAAGGGGGTTAGCTCCCAGCCGTCAAGTGGTGGGGTTGCCCCACATCCCTTTACATCCTCTAGCCCACCCCTAGTGTCCCTGGCCTAAGCCTGCAGAGCCTCTGGCTGCCAGGGTCCCCAGGGGCTTGAGGGTAGGACAGAGTTACAGAGCAGAGTCCTAGAAGGCCCTCGCCCAACTTCTCTTATCAGGGAAGCAGGGGTGGGCCAGGCGTCACCGTTTATTGAGCCGTCTCTGCTCCAGGGTGTGCGCCTTCGCATGGGTGGGGGCGGGGAGGCACGATGATTGCAGTGGGGGCTGTGTGTACCGAGAATACGAGAATACAGATGGGTGGCCCGAGGAGGGACGAGACAGGCCCGACAGAATGCGCCACATTTCAGAATTAATGGAAAAAGCTCACATTGGTATGGTGCTATGCAGTTTGTGAAACACTTTTTTACCCAGTTTGTCACAAGACAGACATTATTCACATTTTAGAGAAAAAGATCCGGAGCTCCCATGGGCCAGTAGACTTGCCTGAGATCACATAGCAGGTTCGTAGCAGGACGGAGACTAGAACTTGGGTCTCACGGTTGCTTTCAACTGCACTGTGCCGGCTCTCTTGGCAGGAAGTGAACCTTGCCAGCCCCAGGTCCTCCCCCTTTCCCCCGAGGGTCCTTCCCTGCCTCTGGTAACGTATGTCCTTCCCTTCCTATCTCGTCCACAGCCCACCGGCCACACTGCCCTCTTCGGGGCCGTAGGACCCCTCCCTCCACCCCCCTCCCTGGCAGCACCTTGAGCAGAAGGCTGAGTTCTGAAGACCCTCCTTGATGCTCCATTTCTGGGTGCCAAGGAAGCTGGAGGAATCCCTGACTCAACTTCCCCAAAGGAGGCCTCTGTGGTGGCCACGGTCCCCCCGCCTGGAGCTGCCGGGAGGCGGCGCTGGCTGCCTGGATGCTGACCCCAGCGCGGCGGGCAGGGTGGGGGACCCTTCTTCCTCGCAGAGCGGGGCCCACTCTTCTTAGCTTTTCTACTCACTGTTAGAGGGACCTAGCTGAGCGGCTGGCGGGAAGCGGGACAGGTCTAGGAGTCCCTTGGGGAATAAACCAGCCCTGTTTCTATCAGCCCAGCCGGCATGCAGGTCTGCACATCACCATCTAGAGTATCACGCACACATCTACCATATATACAGATATATTCTATATACGAGCTATATATAAATATATATATACACATATATATACACACACGTACATATCTAGAATGTGTATCCACGGGGCCCAGAAGCCTCGGTTCGGCCCCCACCTGTGAGTGGGGCAGGGAGCGGTTCCGGTTGTGCAGAGAACAGAGTGTTCTGGCAAAGAGGAAATCCCGCAGCAGCGCAGAGGACCTGGGCCTGGAGGGGCAGGGCTGGGGCGACCTGGCTTGGCGGCAAAGCCCAGCCCTTCTCAGACCAGCTCCCCACATTCCTGAATTCCACTTCCAGGCAGAAAGGAGTGGGCTCCCCCTACTCCCTCAGAGGAACTGACTCACTGACTGTCCTAGAATGGGCAAGGGCAGAGCGAAGTTCTGGATGGGATGACTGCACTAGGGGAGGGGCCTCCGTCCAGAAACCTCGACCGCCAGCTCCACCTGCCTTGGCCACCAGGGTAGCCCCGGGGAATCCGGGCTGCTGGGCAGCAGGTTGGCGGGACCACATGCCTGGGTCTCACCCTCAGCCCCGAGGGCCGAGGGCTTTCCCCACCCCCTTCTCCTCCTGGCCGGCAGTCGGCCCTGTCTATTTATGTGCGCCAGCCGTGCTGGGGGGCCCCCATGTGTGCCCCTTGGTCACATGTATCGTCTCCAAGGATGTTTTGCTGCTGTGGCTACTATGCCTGTGTCCCCTCCTGGCCCATCCTCATCTTCATCTGTGTAACTGCCTGTTCGCCTTTTCTAGTTTCTGATGTTTGTAACCAGACCCAGCTGTGTCATTAAACAGACCTGTTCTTGCTGTACCTGTGCACACTCGTGCAGTCTCTTCCTGCCACCTGCCCTCACCTCTGTCCCCCATCCCTGGTTCTGGGCTCCAGTCTTTTTCTTGAAAGTCCTCCCCTGACCTCCCACACCAAGAGTACACCATCCCCTGTCCCACACCAAGAGTACCCCATCCCCTGTCCCACACCAAGGGCGCCCCATCCCCTGTCCCACACTAAGGGCACCCCATCCCCTGTCCCACACCAAGGGCGCCCCATCCCCTGTCCCACACCAAGGGCGCCCCATCCCCTGTCTCACACCAAGGGCGCCCCATCCCCTGTCCCACACCAAGGGCGCCCCATCCCCTGTCTCACACCAAGGGCGCCCCATCCCTTGTCCCACACCAAGGGCACCCCATCACCTGTGTCTCACCTTTGGCTCCCCCTGGGCTTCTCTCTAAATTGGGGATTAAGATTGCTGTGGGTTCCTCACCTGGTTCATCAGGAACACAGAGCTGGAAACTGGAACTGGGGTTTTGTGGGGGCTGGGGGAGGTCGGCCTTGTTAAAAGGTCAGGAGGCAAGGCCGGGCGCGGTGCCTCATGCCTGTAATTCCAGCACTTTGGGAGGCCAAGGCGGGCGGATCACTTGAGGTCAGGAGATCAAGACCCTCCTGGCCAACGTGGTGAAACCCCATCTCTACTAAAAATACAAAAATTAGCCGGGCATGGTGGCGCACACCTGTAGTCCCGCTACTCAAGAGGCTGAGGCAGAAGAATCGCTTGAACCCAGGAGGAGGAGGTTGCAGTGAGCCGAGATAGTGCCTCTGCCTCTGTGACAGAGCAAGACTCCGTCTCAACAACAACAACAAGAAGTCAGGAGATTTTTAAGGTTTGGTTCTGGAAATCTCCTCCCAGCAAGAGTACAATAGGGAGGAAGGAATCAGAGGTGAGATATCCACACAAAAGGGCCCTGTTTGTCCCAGTACTTTAGTGATAGAGCCAAGGATTGAACCTTGACCTTCTTTCTTTTAGACGGAGTTTCGCTGTTGTTGCCCAGGCTGGAGTGCAATGGTGCGATCTCGGCTCCCCACAACCTCTGCCTCATGGGTTCAAGCGATTCTCTTACCTCAGCCTCTCAAGTAGCTGGAATTACAGGCATGCACCACCATGCCTGGCTAATTTTTGTATTTTTTAGTAGAAACGGGGTTTCAGCATGTTGGCCAGTATGGTCTTGATCTCCTGACTTCAGGTAATCCGCCCACCTCAGCCTCCCAAAGTGCTGGGATTACAGGCGTGAGCCACCGCACCTGGCCTGAACCTTGACCTTCTAGACCTGAACACGGGAGGCTGTGCACAGGCAGAGCTGAGGGCCCGGCCCTGCTGCTCAAATTACATGCGGTAGATCAACCCTTGGGTGTTTGAGAAAGGAAGCCTGCTTTCATCAGCCTTAAACCCCCAATACCTTCCCTGAGCTCTCAGCTCCCAGACCCCTTCCCCAGCCCTCTATCCCTCACCTCATAGCCTGCTGGGTCAGGCCTGCCCAGCCCCCACCCAATGATGGAGGCGGCAGCAGCAGCAGCTCCCTGAGAAGGGACCAGGAGGTCACCAGCCCCGGGTGGGCTGCAGGAGAAGCAGGAAACAGCCTCTGCCCCTTGGGAGGCCTGCGGGCTGCCTGGGAAGACTCAGCTGACACGCAGGAAGAATCTTGTCTCCCAGACCATGAACTCCTTGAGTGCAGCCTCCGCCTTTGTCTCCTGGGCCTGGCACAGGGGAGGAACTAAGTAGAAATCCAAAGAATCAATAAATAACCACTCTTAGAAAGCAAGACAAGTACCCGGCACGGGCCAAGAGTGAGCTGTGTGAACTAAAACGGTGCAGGGCAGAGAGGACAGTGCAGGTCCAGCCTTCCCAGGGAGGCAGTGCCAAAAGACAGTGTGCTGGCTCTGTGCCCAGACTCCATCTCTCACTGCTATGCGACCTTGGGTAAGTCACGCAGCCTTTCTGAGCCACAGTCACCTCTAACTTCATGTTCACTCACTGCAGGAGTGGTGCATGCCTGTAATTCCAGCACTTTGGGAGGCCGAGGCAGACGGATCACTTGAGGTGGATCACTTGAGGTCAGGAGTTCAAGACCAGCCTGACCAACGTGGTGAAACGCTGTCTCTACTGAAACCCTGTCTCTACTAAAAATACAAAAATTAGCCAGGTGTGATGGCGGGCGCCTGTGATCCCAGCTACTCAGGAGGCTGAGGGAGGAGAATCACTTGAACTCAGGAAGAGGAGGCTATAGTGAGCTGAGATCGCACCATTGCACTCCAGCCTGGGCGACAGAATGAGACTCTGTCTCAAAAAAAAAAAAAAAAAAGAAAGAAAGAAAGAAAAAGAAAAGAGAAGAGGCTGGGCACGGTGGCTCACGCCTGTAATCCCAGCACGTTGGGAGGCTGAGGCAGGCGGATCACGAGGTCAGGAGTTCAAGACCAGCCTGGCCAACATGGTGACACCCCATCTCTACTAAAAATACAAAAATTAGCCAGGCGTGGTGGCAGGCAAGGCAAGACTCCATCTCAAAAAAAAAAAAAAAAAAGAAAGAAAAAAAAGAAAGAAAAGAAAAGAAATAGAAGGAACCCAGGGGAGCTTCCAAGTCCTGGGCCCAGGGCCCCTGGTGGGCCCAGGAAAGCCAGAGCTGGAACCAGAGTCAATGGGGGCCATAGAGCCATGGGTCGTAGGGACTATCGGAGGAAAAGGGGCATCTGAGGTCGGCGGTAGGGGAGACCATCTGGGAAGAAAGCCCGCCCTCCTCATTTCACATCACTTGGCTTGAGAATGGTGAAGGGGTTTCTGAACTCATCAAAACTGGAATCCTTCGGGAATGTGGCCCTTCTGGAAGGTTCTCCCTGCTCTCCACTCCCAACAGAGAGGACACCGGCAATTAGTGAATCAGCCAGACCCGGGCTGGTGATGCTACTTGGACCTGGGGCAAACAAGATACCTAAGAGGCCTTGCTGGGGGAAGGCGTGGTATTCTCTAGGGGCTATGCCTGGGTGCAGGGGACTAGTGGGTAAGGAGCAACGTCTGGTCTTTGGTTTTGTTCTCTACACCCAGAGTTAGCTATCTCTCCCAGGAGCTGAGCAAGTGGGTCAGCTCCCCGGGCGAGCTGGGGCTGTGAGCGACGTGGGCGTCAGGAACTGGGGTGCACGGCGGCTTCTTCCCTGGCAAAACGGTTTCTGGCGGCGCAGGCCCACAGCGTCCCCTGCTGGCCGCGGAGGGCTCCTCACTCGGGAGCCGCCTCCGGAGCTACGGACCCCGTTACCTTCCTGGGGTGACCACTTCCTCCCTCGTTTTCGGAAGCTGCAGCCAGGCTGCAGCCTGAGACCAAGGAAGCTGGAGGAATCCTTTCCCAGTTTATCTGCAGGAGAAGGAAGTGGGGGATTCTCTGTGCAGCCTCAGGACACTCAGGAAAATGTCACCTCCACAGTTGGAACCAAGTGGAAAAAGTTAATAAATGGTCAATTTTTTTTTTAAAGAACGCCTGTAATCCCAGCACTTTGGAAGGCCGAGGTGGGAGAATTGCCTGAGCGCAGGAGGTCAAGGCTACAGTGAGGTGTGATCATGCTGTAGTACTCTAGCCTGGGCAATAGAACAAGACCCCATCTCAAAACATAAAGTAAAATGATTTTTTCTGGGCCGGGCGCAGTGGCTCACCCTTGCAATTCCAGCAGTTTGGGAGGCTGAGGCAAGCAAATCATGAGGTCAGGAGATCAAGACCATCCTGGCTAAGATCGTGAAGCCCTATCTCCACTAAAACTGCAAAAATTAGTCAGGCGTGGTGGCACAAGCCTGTAGTCCCAGCTACTCAGGAGGTTGACGCAGGAGAATCGCTTGAACCCAGGAGGTGGAGGTTGCAGTGAGTTGAGATCATGACACTGCACTCCAGCCTGGGCGACAGAGTGAGACTCTGTCTCAAAAAAAAAAGTAAAATCAATTTTTTTCATCATTGATATTTTTGTTTTAACATTGATTTTTAAAAATATTGTATTCCAATATTATTTCTCTTGATTACTAGGCCCCTTAAATTTTGGGCCCCAGGCCAGTGCCTCACTCGTCATACCCTATTCCAGGTTCTGTCTTATTGTAGTGTCTTATTGTAGTGCGTTCAAGGGACCCCAGCTGAAGAGCACTCATTTTAAAATCTTATTTATTTAATTTGAGACACTGTCTGGCTCTGTTGTCCAGGCTGGAGTGCAGTGTTGTGATCACAGCTCACTGTAACCTCAAACTCCTGGACTCAAGTGATCCTCCCTCCTCAGCCTCCCAAAGTGCTGATATCATAGACATGAGCCACTGTGCCCAGCACACACTCTTCTTGACCTCCAGAAAGTCGCCCCCACTCACCCACCGGGCAGCAGGTTTCATAGTTGCTCATTGGATGGCTTTGCTAAAAGAATTGATTTTAGCAGGGTATGAGTTTGGACTCGGCCCTTAGGGCTGAAGACACTGGGGCAGGAGCTTTTGGTGGCAAGGAGCAAAGGCCTATTTGGGCTCCCAAAGTGAGGGTGGGAAGGCTGGGCACGGCGGCTCACGCCTGTAATTCCAGCACTTTGGGAAGCCGAGGTGGGAGGATCACCTGAGGTCAGGAGTTTGATACCAGCCTGCCCAATATGATGAAACCGTCTGTACTAAAAATACAAAAGTGTTAGCCAGGCGTGGTCGTGGGCACCTGTAATCCCAGCTACTCAGGAGGCTGAGGCAGGAGAATTGCTTGAGCCCAGGAGACAGAGGTTGCAGTGAGCCAAGATAGCGCCAGTGCACTCCAACCTGGGTGACAGAGTGAGACTGTCTCAAAAAACAAAAAACAAAACAAAACAAAACAACAAACTGAGGGTGGGGAGTGCACAGTAAAGACATTCTTGGAAATAAGGGAGTCTAGTCTCTGGGGATCAGGGAAAGCCACATGACCCAGGCTTGCTGGAAGGAGAGACCGGTGCAGCTGCCCAGGAGCCTGGGAACTGAACAGCGGACTAGGGGAAGGCAGCTCCCAGCC